CTGCTGCTGCTGCTGCTGCTATTTTGATCCCTTTCGTGGGAAATCAAAATCAGTCAAAAGATTGGCAAAACGTATCAATCCCACATTAGCTTGATCATTAAATGTAATTACCGAAACCCCACCGAAACCCCATGTGTCCATCGCCTCTAGCTTCGTTCAGCTTGTTAAGCTCAAGCCTTGGTGGTGCCCCGCCCAAAGGGTTTGCATGCAGAGGCCCGTCAACCCTAGGGAAATTGTGTCTTGGAGCGCGGGGTTCTTAATTTAACAAATTGGCTTCACTTTTTCAAGTTCAAAAAAGTGGCTGCGTTGTCTACGGCTCTTCGTGTGGTGGCAGTAGCTACAAGGTCACGAAGGATGAGCCACCTGGCCGATGATTGTTATGAAGATGATACCTTCCCGGAGAACCCCCTGTCCCTGGGGTCCAATGAATGACCACCACACCATGTTTGAATCTCAATTTGCAAACTAAGGCCCAGAGCGTCAAGGAGGAATTGGGGGAGCTCGTGACCGGCCACGACGCTCAAACACGGGCCATTTCCTCTGTGATTTTCGCCAGCGAAAGGTACGAGGAGACCTTATTGGGTGGGCTGGGGCTGAAGGCTGAAAGTGGAGATACAACACGTACAAGATAATCTCACAAAGTTTCACCCAAGCTCAAGCACACCAGCAAGCATAGTTTCTGAGACCCTTGACATGTGGACGCAGGCGTCTGAAAGAAAGCCCGCAAGAGACGGAGTCTATACAGACTTCGTCTTGATGCTGCAGCGGCCTTGCCTTTGATCTGCAGTCGGCTTAAAGGCAGGGCCTTTATGTCACATCAAGCAGTGTGAGTGTGATTGATAGTGCTGCTTTGGTTCATGTTCCATCATCGCTAGAAGATGTTAGAAGTGTGAAATGCATGGGCGGATGGGCGGACATTCAAAAGTTCAACCAGGTATCGTGTCCACAAGATTTTGGGAAACGAAGCAACGAAACGCCGAAGACTTCAAAAGAGGCTGCGTCACTTGGCAGCTTTGGGGATTTGTTGGGGTTCTTTAACAAGTGGCCTGGGTTCACCTTTGCAAGCTCAAACAAGGTCCTTCCAGGCCACTTGTTCGGCCACGGAAACCGTCCAGGTTTTCCGCCCAGTTGGTGATGATGTTTGTGTTGGAGTCAACTTTGAGCAACCCGTAATCCTTTCTGGCCTACCACTAGTTGATGCTTGCTGCTTTCACGCGCTCTATTTGTCATCCTCTTTTGGGAGTCCAATTCCTAAAGCGGACAGGCTTGAAATCAGCAGCTATTAGAAGCAAACATGTTGTTTACCCTTGGTCCTCACAATCATACTCCTGTCTCTCGGCTACCCAGTCTGAGGTTTTGGGGCCGTTAAGTTTCCTGTTCGGTGGCCTTGTTGGTCAGTGGTCAGGGCAAGAACTTGTGTACAACTCGTAGGGGCTTTTCAAATGATTTTGGCCACGTGTACCCTGCATTTGGTCTCGACAGCCCATTGCTCCAGCAGCTGTACGCTCACGGTGCCTGTGAACAGTTACTCGACCAAGGCCCACAAGAAGACACAAAGAGCACAGAATGGACACAAGCAAGGCAAACCCTTTTGAAAAGAATGGAAAGCGCCTGGGAAAATTGACACGGCAACCTCAAAAGTATGAAACCACGCTTTTGGGCAGACAACGCACTGGATCAGGGCTAACCTACTTGAGAAGAGGCGAAAACAAGGCAAGCCAACTTAAAAGACATGGAAAGCACATAGGAATACCAACCAGGAAACCAAAAAGTATGAAGCCAACAACACGAAAATCACATTGGGACCTAGAGCCAGTTTTTTGGCAACAACGCCCACAAAGACAAAGAACCAACAGTCTAAAATCATCTTGAGGCTTAAAGCCAGTTTATTTAGCAACAAGGCTCAAGGGTAACCCATTTAAAAGGATCGAAAGCACCTAAGGCATAAAGAGCACAGAAGAGACGGAAACGAAGCAAATCAACTGAAGATGAGAATTTCTTGACACCAAGGCCCACAAGAAGACACAAAGAGCACAGAATGGACACGACCAAGGCAAACCCTGTTGAAAAGAATGGAAAGCACCTGGGAAAATGGACACGGCAACCCCAAAAGTATGAAACTACGCTTTTGGGCAGACAACGCACTGGATCAAGGCTAACCTACTTGAGAAGAGGCAAACAAGGCAAGCCAACTTAAAAGACATGGAAAGCACATAGGAAAACCAACCAGGAAACCCAAAATTACGAAGCCAACAACACGAAAATCACATTGGGACCTAGAGCCAGTTTTTTTAGCAACAAGGCCCACAAAGACAAAGAACCAACCGTCTAAAATCACATTGACGCTTAAAGCCAGTTTTTTAGCAACGAGGCTCGCAAAGACAAAGAACCAAGAGTAACCCAAAAAGGACGGAAAGCGCCTGACGCACAAAGAGCACAGAAGAGAGGGAAACAAAGCAAACCATTAGTGAACTTGGCCATTTGGTGATTCACCTTCGGAATGGTGTTTTCGGGGTTCCGTGTTGTTGGCTCTCAGATTCAGCGACCCACATTGGAGGTGGTGCCTTTCAAGGTTGGAGGTGGCGCCTTTCAGGGTTGCAGCCCGCCGGTGAATTTGACCGTCGCAGATGCAGTGACACTTGCCGGATGCCGTTTCGGCTGAATTTCATTCAGATGATGTCGGTGTGGGACTTCGTCGACCATGGCACATGCCCTTGCTGCAATGCTGCAAACGGCGCGGCGCTGCTGGCTTATGGCCGCTCTACCAGCAATATTGCCGCGCGAAGCATCCGAAGAAGGTCGCACGACCACGGCGGCTACTTCGTCGTGCTTTGTGGGTCGTTCGTTTTTCGGACGTGTCCTTCTCGACTTTATGCTTGGTTCAATGTCATCCAAACGTTGAAATAGCAAACCATTCCTTCCAAGAATATTCTTGCGCCTTCCAAATTAAAGCCACCTTAAAGTACCTTCGGGCTGGTATATGGATCACTGGACACTTTGAACCATCCAGAAAAGCATCAGCCCAGAAAGAGTTGAGACCTCATAAATTGTTGGGTTGGCTCCATTTGGGATGCCTATACAAGTCCCAAACTTATACGATCCCGAACCTCGATTGTAACCTTGTCATACCCCGCGTACGCCGGCCACGTCGCAGGATGACCTGCTGGACGCTTTGGAAGAGATGATGGAGGTCGAGCAACGCGAGAAGGAGGGGCGTGAGGCGCCATGGTATACGCACATCGTCGGATCGTTCTCGGCAACGGGCTCGACAAAAATTGAGATCGAGAGTTTGGAAACTTTTTGGGGGTGTCTGATACCCACTTGTTCAGGCGCGTCGTGGAGATGATCGTGACCGTGAGCAGTCGCCGGCCGAGGAGGGCGCAGTCACTTGCAATGACTTGCCGGAAAGAACACGTTTCTTCCAGGTAGACCAATGGTATATCAAAACACTATCACTGCTTCATGCCACCCTCCCACGCAAAGCATTCACAAGGCATTCGCTTTGTTCTGTCTCGGTTGGGTCCCTAGATAGACTTTACCCCCATTGATTTGGGCATCCATGTGGTTATGATTTTGGGGTGGGGCAGAGGATGCTCGGACCGGATCGCCTAGGAGCGAGACTCGCGGCCGGATGAGGACAAGGCTCCTGTTGCTC